AAACCATACGTCTGTGATGAGTGTGGTCGTGCCTTTGCTGATAATTATACACTCACACACCATAAGGTATGCCTTAATTAATTTCTATGAGGTATGTTTTTGAAGAGTGATATGGAATGTGCGCTGGTTTGAGTCTCGGGGAAAGAAATTTCTCATGAAATTTTCGACCGGTGTATGGGACTGGTGCCAACCCAGCATCGTCAGGAAATTGGGGAGCTACAATGCTACAAGGTTTTCACCATGAATTCACAATCTGGATGAGAATGAATGTGCTTGTGCTATACATGTAGCAAGTTTGGCAACCAATTTGTAGTTAGCCCCTTACAATTTTGGCTGACATAAAATTTTAATGAATATGTACACTCACCTCCATCCAAGAGTAAGTTAGGTAATTTTATACTTGTTACTTAATTATGTATTATGTTGTCAGGTGGTACACTCAGGAATCCGTAGTTACATGTGTGATGTATGTGGGAAAGCATTTGTGCACAAGCACACACTTGCGAGTCACAAACGTATCCATAGTGGAGAGAAGCGTTATAGATGTACCATCTGCGAACGAGCATTTACACAGATGTCAACTATGCTCCAGCACCGTAACACACACACTGGGGAGAAGTCATATCGCTGTATCTGTGGGAAGGCCTTCACGCAGCAGTCCAGTCTTGCACGTCACAAGAGGTAACCTCTTAATGTTGCAATTGTAATAATACCTTATTTATAAATAGTGATGTTATATTCATATAGAATGACTAACATAAAGTAAAAATATCTTAGGCAGAAGAAGAAGAGCAACAATTCTTAATTCTGTTATGGAGAAGTGATTGGTTTAATAGCGTGGATTTCATGTTTGATACAGTGTGGTTAATGTTTCAATAAAATCTATCAGGGCTCCAGAAGTATGCTTGCCCACTCACCCTGGCCATATTACCGGACACCAGTGGCAGGTACAGTTAATTCTTAAACTAAATGTGTCAAAAATTTGATGAACAAATGATTGTCATGAACAAGGTGCAGAAAGCAAGTTGAATATTTTGTTGTCTTAACATTTCATGTTGTGTTTTTAAATCTTTCTTATGCAGATATTTTGCACAAAGCATGTTGCAAGTCATAGGGTAAGTGGAGTGTTCTACAATAGTAGTAGAACTGAAGTTGTATTTCTGGAGCTGTGTAACTTCATTGGAAAGTAATAAGCATTATAGTAATACAATTATTATTTTGCAAAATATTATATTCCTCCTCCAATTTGCGGATATAAACATGTTATGTAAATTCTTAGTTAAAAAAATTTAAAAGTTTCAAATGTGAATAAAGTTCACTTGGTACATATTTTTTATAAGTTAAGTTAGAGTTATCAACAGGTTTAACAGAGTTGGAATCTTGAAAGTAATCATTTTTCAATGCTTAACATCATCCTGTGGAGCTCAGAACAGAGTGGTAGTGTATGCAGCATTAAGAAATAAGAACTGCGTTCATATTTGATCTGGACTTAATGTTTTTAAATATTCTGTGCTTGACACTGTTTCCTGATGTATTTAATCAGCATAATGTAGGTCTGTGAAGATTGTTGCCACAGCAACTGATGTTAGTAAGAAACCAAATGACATCTGGATCTGTTTCTAGTTCAGTGGAACAACATATTGTTATTATAAATATAGGTAAGGAAGGTGTAAAAGTGTCTGAAATTCATCATATTTCACACATGATAAAGGATCTTGCCTGCCATGATCTTTAGTGTCCAGATGGTAAACGTGTGACAGGGTTGCCATCATGTAGAAAACAAAGTGCACAGAGTAAGGCCAGCACCTGCAGTTCGTGTTGTGGCAACTGAAGAGGTTGATGGCTGAAGGATTTCGTCAGAACCTGCCACCACTGTTGAGTGCTGTCATCATTGTCCATAATAAGCTGGGATTTAGTGAAACTTGCCGCAACAGTTCTCACCACTGTTCAACAGTAACAGAGGGAAGGAGATAACTTCTGTGACTGTAATTTTACTTCAGAAAGCAAACATTCCAGTATATTGTGAGAACACAAGTTTACCTATACTTAAAACAGTCAAGACCTTGGCATCAGATGGCCATAACATTTTGGGATGCCTAACCACTCAAAAATGCTGGGGCTTTACATAGTGCAAAATGCACACACCTTTGAGATGTGAATAGCTTTGATCTAATGGTTTTCTTTCAAATTTGTGGAAAATACGGAGTAGTGAAAGTTTTGAATAATGTAGAAGTGCCTCTGGATGACTTTACTGTCAGTGTTATTGAAATGTCAAGATGTGCATATAAGTTCACGTGTCTCTTACAGTGACTTGGTGTTTGGAGAACTGTTCTGATGATTCTAGTCATCTTGAACATCTTACTGATACGAAAACATCAAAACAAAGAAAAAATACTTCTTTAATTACTGCTGCCCATACCTATTACATTAAATCAAGGTATCAGTGAAAATAATTTAAAGCACTCCAGTGTCACTCACATTTTTGCAGTTTTGGCATTTATAAACATTATTAAAAGTATCTCTATCTGACGTAATTGTTCATATTTCTCTGTTTTTCTCTCACTGAAAATCTTCTTTGACATGTTTCACTTTCACTTCACCAAGTGAACTCCACTATCACTACAGTGGAATTTCCTTTTGTATGTAAGAATAACAAATCTAAAACTTCTTGACGATGGTGAAGAGTCATTTGAATAAAAATTTCCTTGGATATTATCCATCGTCTAGTAAAATATTATTTATATATTTATTATATTTTACTAGACGATGGATAATATCCAAGGAAATTTTTATTCAAATGTAAGAATAAGTTGCATAATGTGTGCAGATTTATTTTTTCTTAATTTTACATTGAGGTCCTGTGAATTATATGTGATATGAAATATTTTATGTTAAAACTGACTTTTTCCTCTGGGTAGCATGATATATGTACTTGTTTCATTGCTTTTGTTAGTGTTGCACATATCTCTGCATATGTATTATACATTATTTCAGTATGTGAAAGATATGCTGCAAAGGAACTGAGTATCTGTTTCTTAATTTGCATCTTTCATATGCTTGAAATTTTTATAAGGAATTCAATATTTTATAAATTTTACTTATTTAACTTGACATTTCTTTTCCTTTAATGAAGGACAGCCAGTATGTTTGGTTCTGACACGTATTTCTGAGCAGTTGTAGATGCTTTAATGCACTGTAGAGACAGGGTAGCTCAATCATTGTAGTGACTGTGCCATGGGCTGAGTAATTGGGGTTTAGTTTCCTGCAGGTCAGAAGTTATCTGTGCATCACAGTGTGCAGACTGGCTGTGGGCTTAATTTAGCTTCATGTACAACAGGTACTCAGGTTCCTTCCTCAGGTGTAAAGCAGCTGGGATACAAAGCTAACCACTCATCTCCTTAGATTATGACTATATGGAAGTGCACCTTCACATCCTCCCCATATACCACTGTGATTTGGTACTTGGTTAAATGCCAGGGACAACTTTACCTTCAGATCCAGGTCTTCAGTAGTTCCTTCTGCTGCTGGCCTTTCTGAGCAGGGTTGACTGCTGTGGACACAGTATGCTGATATAGGCTGGTGCCTCATCATAAGTTTGTGCTGCGTGAGCAACAAGTAGCAGTGTGTCTAGGTTGATTAGTTTTCTAATGCTACACATTTTAGCACTTAAAGGCTATTGATAAATTATTTGTTTCAGGTTACATGAAGGAGGAGTTGAATCATTTCCATGCCATCTTTGTGAGAAGAAATTTGCATACAAGAGCACTTTATACAAGCATAAGCGTCGAACTCATGGTATTGATAACCCTCACGTCTGTTACAGTACTCCATATAGTGACACACAATTCTAAGAGTGAAGTGTCTGCTGTTTAGTAAGTGAATGGAGCATCCTATTAATGTTGAATTTTTACAGTACTTCACATCCAGCAAGAATGTTTATGTAATAGGTTTCATATCAAAATATTTTAATTTTCTTCATTTATAAAAGCATAAAGGAGTCTGGCACATGTGATGATGAACTTACGATTGCATTCCTTGATGCAGGGTTAGTTCTCACTACCATGCCAGCTTTCTGTACCTCAGTATGGGTTATTTCCTCAGGGATAGAGAATGCTGACCATTCAGTTGTAAGGCTGGTTAATAATATTTGGAGTCTCTGTCCTTCAGTGTGCTCAGGGTTAGGTGAAGTGTGAAAGAAGGGTGGAAAGTTTCACAATTTTTACTTGCACGTTTGTATTTTAAAATGTGATATCAGAATAATGACTGTAATTACAGACAACTCAGTAAACTGAATGTGTCATTGTTTTTATCATACATGACCTAGTACCACCATCTACTATTCATAAAATGTATCTTTTCAAACAAATTTTTATCTTATTCTTAGCTTATTTAATTATGCTTTCAGGTACATAGGTTATAAAATGTCAAGTGATAGGATGATTAATTAATAAGATTGGAAAGGTGTACTGTTTCGAGGACACTTAAAATTTTAAATGTGCTCTTCAGAACACATAATGAGTGTTGATGTGAACAGGGAATTACAAATGGAACAGTGGTATCCAATGTCATTGTTGCAACAATGTGATCTGAGGTCACTCAAAACAGTGCAGCTCAACAATGACCTCCAATTACATTGCTACAACCAGCATGGTGGAAGTACATGCCTGGTGATCAAGGCATGGAAGACTAGGCTGATGGGGCAAAGCACTTGGAGCAACAAACACTGGGGGTTTGGCCCCAGTGGGAATACATAGGGGTGAAGTGTCAGTGTGGTAAATCCTCTGGGGTGGCTGGCTCAGTCTTGAGCAGCCTTTGTGATCTTGGGCTGGGCTGGTGCATAACTAGCATAGTGCTATAAATTGATAACCATGGAGTTAAAGGTCTGCTGGCAACCCCATTGTAGGGGTTTAAATTACCTATTTCTAATGATAAAATGTAAGTACTAGAGATTGCCACATATACTGCTGTAACAGAAAACAGCAGGCAATTGGGAACTACATACAAAATGGGACTTTCTGACCTCAGTGTACTACAAAAATGTTTGGATGAATTTTTTCTTGTTTTCATTGTAACATCTACTATTATTTTTTTTTGTAGTGTTCTGTCTGACGACAGGTCCATATATTATGAACAGGATCCTTCCAACCTCTTCAGGTTGTCAGGGACCTGCTCATACATATATACATTCTTGGCAGAGATGATCAGAAGTGGTTTGCCATTGCCTTCTTCTGTGTGTGAGTGGAGTAATTGTTGGGATGCCACGGAGAAACCGGGGAAGCCCCCGGAGGAAAACTCTGTGATGCCTAGACCACGGCCTTGCCCAACACAAGTTATAAATTTGAGCACCACCGGCAATTGAACCCGGGACCCCAGGCTTACAAGGCTAGTGTTCTGACCACTAGACCACCGTGGCAGGCTAACATCTACTATACGTGAAGCTAAATATTAGAAGCATTTTCGAAAACATCTACTGCAAATTGGCAGATAACAAAATATTTCTCATTAACATCTGTAACTTTTATTTGAGACATTTGTTTATATGGTAATATGTGTATTTCACAATCGTAACTAAGGTTTTTGTAGAGGGTTCTGAAGGATCAGTGCCACTAATAACAGAACTCACCATTGAACATGACCCAAACAAAATAAGGGATGACCCTATTGTTGTAATTTTTGTGCAGCTGAGTACCTTTGTTCACAGCTGAATTTAATATGATTCAAATGGACACAAACTGCAGAGGGATGAAAAATCAAAGTGAATGTTTATTCCAAATTGGATTGAAACTTATGTGTGAACTGCCAACAGTGGAAAAATCCAGACCACCAAAGCACAACAAAAAATAACATACCAGCAATACGCTTGCAAATATATACAAAGAACCAGGCAACAAACAAGCAGGGCATGATGTTTTCCCCTTAAAAGTACTTCCTGCATATGTCCAGAACCTTAGGCTGTACAAGAGTGCTGCCTACAGAAAGGCTGAACGTTGTAAATTAACAGTGGATGAAGAGCTACAGAGCAGAAGATAGATGTACACTTTACATGGATGAAACATGGGTTGACACAAGAGGGGAATATCTTAACATACTGCCTATGAACACATGTTTGTTACATTACTTCATTTATCATGAAAATTCTGAAGCAGGAGTCATGTTCAATAACAAGTGTTTATTATGTTTAACATATCAGCATATCCCTGAGAAATATTTAAGTATTTTAATTAATCAAGTTACATGGTAGATTCTTAGAAATTGGAAGGTAGTTGAAGATGGCTGTCGTCTGGGTGTTGCGCTGTATAGTCTCGTAGAAGTTTGGTGGTGACACTGCATGCCCTTAATAAAGAAGCAAAACTCCAGCATTAGTTATATAAAATTAATTGGTGCTTGATAAAGAGTAGAAATTATGATTTTCAGTGATGTGTAAAAGACAATATTAATTTAAGTGATGTATAAATTATTGAAAGAAAAATTAGATCAGTGTAATGAAACTTCAGAAAATAGTGCGTTAACAAGCACACAGTTTCTCGGCAGCAGTCTCCCCACTGCACTGAATACACTACTACCACCACCACCATTTGAACTGCACAGCCATGTGGCAATGACTGCAGGTGGCACCTATATTAGAAACTTAAAAAACACTTTTTTGGACACTAAAGTGGAGTTCTTGGATGCCACTAGGTTTATTTATTTAGCTATTTTTGGAGTTGTTTTGTAATAAATCCTAGGATTGGTTGGCAGCAGCTTTTTTTTTAGCTGCTGATACTAGGGAAATCCTGAGGATCTTTAATGTGGTGGATTCCCCTTGCCATCCGCGTCCTATGCCGTTAACCCATCTGCCTTTAGGGGTGATTTCTCACCCCAAGGGCATGAGGGTGCCATGACCCTCCACCCACTAAAGAGGCTGTTGGCACTTTGTAGAGGGGGACCACTTACACCGGTGTTCACTCGGTCTGTGGACTCAGTTTAACATCATGCCCGGGAGTTGTCTTATAGTAAATAGACAGTACACTTAAAGCCAATGCTTATTTGTTGATTGTCAGGGCATCTGAATTATTCTGCATTCTTACTAATTACGTTATAATTTATCTGTTTGGTCATAACTACTTTGCCACATATGAACACAACACACTTTCTCCCTACAATGTTTCTACCCTACAGTCTTCTGTCCCACCCTCTGCAGACTTTGAAAACGGACATTAACAATAATGTACAACAATGGAATTTATATTGGTAATACAACAGCCTGAGAATATCACCTCAAGAACTACCAGTTGTGTTTTGGCACCATATAGCCTTGCTTAAACTCTTTGAGTTAACAGCAAATGTACATAAATAAAATGTGCAAAGGAAAGCTTTTTGTACGAGGGTCGCTCATTAAGTAATGCCCCACATTTTTTTCCTCAGAACATATTTATTCAAGATGGCTCAAATTTAGTGACAATATAAATCAATGTTTCCTTTACACATACTATTTTTCCACATAGTCCCCATCAACTGGTACGGTTTTACGCCAGCGTGGAACAAGTGCAGGCATGCCTTGCCGGTACCAGCTCTTGTCCTGTCCCCGTAGCCATGTCCTCACTGCTTGAATCACGCTCTCGTCATCTTCAAATCTTGTTCCGCGGATAGCATCTTTAAGGGGCCCAAAGAGATGGAAGTCGGAGGGTGCCAGATCTGGACTGTAGGGTGGATGGGGTAGCACCGTCCAACCCAATTTGGTGATTTCTTCCCGGGTTCTCAGACTTGTGTGAGGGCGTGCATTGTCGTGCAGGAGCAAAATTTCTGCTGGATGCTTGTGAGGCCGAACTCGTCGAAAACGCTTCTTGAGGGTTTTCAGGGTCCTGATGTACGCGTCTGAATTGATGGTCGCACCTCTTGGCATCACATCCACAAGAATGACCCCATCACTGTCCCAAAAGACAGTCATCATGACTTTTCCGGCGGAGGGAGTTGTCTTGAATTTCTTCTTTCTCGGTGATTGAGGATGATGCCACTCCATTGACTGCCTTTTTGTCTCTGGCTCAAAGTGGTGTATCCAGGTTTCGTCACCTGTAATGATCCGGGACAGAAAGACCTCTCCCTCAGCATCAAAACGCTCCAACAATTCAGAAGAAATCGTTTTCCTTTGAATCCTGTGGTCTGCTGTGAGACTTCGTGGAACCCATCTTGCGCACACCTTCGAATATGCGAGAGCCTGGATAATTGCAATCACACTTCCATTGCTGACTGAAAGCTGTTGGGCCAATTGTCGAGTTGTGATGCGCCGATCCTCACGAATAATGGCATCCGCGCGGTTCAACATGTCTGGAGTGGTGGCTGTGGCAGGACGCCCAGAGCGCGGCAGATCACGGAGCTCGGTTTCTTCACTTCCTGAAGCTTTAACTCTCTTAGCCCAGCGACCAACGGTGCTCCTATCGACTGCACAGCTTCCATACACAGCACACAAACGTTTATGAATGTTCACCACCGTTTCTTTTTCAGCAACAAGGAATTCAATTACAGCTCGTTGCTTGTAACGAGAGTCGTTCACAGACGCCATTTTAACAGTTCACTACAGCTCCGCTATCGGTTGGAATCATTTGAAACTCCGTACACGAACGCGGGAAACATCAAATCTCAAGCATGTAAAAGTACACTTTTCTATCTTCAGTATTGGCTGAGAAAAAAAATGTGGGGCATTACTTAATGAGCGACCCTCGTAAAAAATGTCACAATTTTTAATTGTATTCGGGAGAGGCCTCTTTTCTAACCGCGGTCATCTAAACGGCTATTCTGAAGATTTCCCTCCGGGTGAAGATCGAGATAGTAGGCCTACTTCGAAATGAACCAAGGCAGATTATTTTACGTTTCCAATCATCTGCTTTCATTTGGCAATGACTGTTGATACGATATTGTTAAATAATCTCCGAAAAATGTGAGCATCTTAAGCAATTATACATTCTATGACCATTTCAACAACTAAAAAAATATACCCAAACAAAACGAAAGTGAACACTCTACAACATTCATCAATAAATGTGTTTTGATTCAAAATTAAATATAGTATTTGAGATTTCCAGGGCAGCGAGTTCGAAGATATCTGCCTTCTGGGTTGTAGTATGGTAGAAGTTAACTGAGGTTTCAACAGTGCTTGCTGTCTCCATCATCAGGGCGATCATCGCCCTGATTATCCAGAAAACATCCATATTCAAAATTAAATATAATGGGAATGGGAATGAGATATGGAATAGCAGATAACAATAGCACCTATCTCAATGAGAGTCATTTGGAAAAAGGCCAAGTAGGAGACGGAA